CGGGAAATTCCTGGCGCCGCCACTGGAAACACCGATAAGATCCTATTTGAAAACACAGTGAAAAGATAAAGGCAGAAACGTACGCTACACAGACAAGAATAATTCAAATTATGCGGGATTCGAACCCACGACTTCAAGTTAACTAGTCAAATCATAACTGTTTTTTCAACAGTTAATACCTGGGTAGTGATCCAGAGGTGACGGAACTCGTCACGGAATTCAAACACTCCCACTTCCATATGGCCCTTGAAAATTATTGATAGTCACTACTGGAACTTCATCATCATAGTTCTCAAAAGTACTTCTCAATTGATGGATATCTCCAGAACCGCTTTCAAACCTCAAATAGTGTCAAAGGAGGTCAAGTACAACACTCTGACGACCAAGAGATTAAAAGCGGTTCACAGAGCACGTACCAACCCCTAGCACGTATAACGGTGACAGCAGGGCCGCAACGGTACCGTAGCAAAGGAACCTGATGTTTCAGGCCATCCACTCGATCAAAACCTATCCGTAGCTTTCTACCAAAGATCTTATAAACACAAGATAGCGTTCTCCGGGATTTACGCGTGCAAATTCTGTAATAAGGCATGAATGGCGCCCTCTTGCTAAATTGGAAACTTTTGACCCTTGACCGCTCTGATCTGACCATACAGTACACCGCCTGTGAACAGCAGAACAGGAACCATCAGATCCATGGCAACAGATAGGACGCCCTCTTCAAAAACTTATTACTTTTTCTCTTCGGTAATAGCGCATGAATGACGCCCTCTTGCTAAATGGGAAACTTTTGAACCTTGACCGACGCTTCTATTTGTTACGCGTAAATCGCGGAGAACGCTATCTTTTGTTTATAAGATCTTTGCTTTCTACATACGGTGATGACAGGTCGGAGGGCGCCCGATAATGAAGTTAACCAAGAATTGAAATTCAAGGAAAAAAGCGAAGTATGCACTTTATGTTCCGTGGCGGGTGTTCTATCGGAACCTGCGACAGTACTTCCTTCCAGCCCATTATCTTGAAGGAACTGGGGTTGTACCCGGTTACTGTGTGATCGTTCACAGCCGTTGTCTAGCGATTCCCAAGCCTATCGATGTTTATAAAGGTTTTGTCCGGAAGAAGCTCAATGATTTTATAGAAGTGACGTCATGTGAGCGACGCTCCATTGGATATTGGAACATGCTGACGTTAGCAACATTATCCCTACAATAACTTAACCTGACGTTGAAATACTGTAGAGGGCAGCAACCATAAAAGTGGTTGATCATATTTTTTTTTGTACAAGGTTTATGCAAAGAGTATAAATAGAACAAGAGAGCCAACAACGCTCATTGAGAGCGTAAAAAAACGATACGCCCATACGCAGCTAGTGTAGGACGCCAACTAACGCTTGTATGTGTTTTATTACCCAGTACTCTCAGGGGCGGATTTAGGGGGGGGGCCGGCCCGGCCCCGGCCCCCTCTTTTGGGAGGTAAAAAAAGAAAAAAAAAAAAAAAGAGGGAAAAAGAAAAAAATAATAGCCCAGAATGTCTCAAATGTTACGTTCGGGCGTCTAGAAC